TATTATGGCAAAGAATATAAAATTAGAGTTATACAATATAAATATTGGATATAGACCAAAACAATAGATGATTTTGCAACATTTAACATGCCATAATGGCATAGCCAATTTGAAATTAAATATGAAACAAAACAATAATTAAGATAAAAATCATGTGTAGTGCTTTGACTTTTCAAACCGACATTTGGTTGTTTCTATATTATTATAACGTTTTCGTAAGTAAAAGGTGAGCACTTGATATACCAATACAATGTGCAAATACTGTCCTGTATCAGGTATCTTTTGATACACTTTTCCTGGTGTTTTGAATCAAGCTTGTGACAGTAGTCTCGAACCAACAAAAAACCAGGGTACATTGATAAAATACACGTACACATGATCAATCTATCTCGCAGCTGTTTGACATAAATAATGGTTGACAAGATAACACAATTTCACTATAATCTAAAATCAACCGTTTAAGGAAACTCGTCAAAAGCAGACTGACATGTAGTTGCTATCATTGGGACTTGTTCATATACACCTAGCGAATTTAAACGGTGCAATCTTTTTGATCATGTGTTGCTATTGATTTGAGTAATGAATATAAGGACCTTCATGTACACGTGAAAGACTGGTGCAATTATTTCAGTATGCCATTTTAGAATCAAGTTCATTTTCACATTAGTTTAGCAGCAGCAGCAGCAGCATGGGCAGCATAAACATCAACATCTTTAACATCATCATCATTAAAAAAAAACTCATTAAAAAAACAAGATACCTAATAAAAACCACTATGAAGAAATATATATTTGTTACATAACGTCATTGAAAGGAGACCATGATTCAAATATTTTTAGTACACTGTTAAATGTCATAGTTTCTCCTTTCTGACAATAAACCATGCTTCATGATCATCATCATCATCATCATCAACCCTATGATCTTCATCATCATAAACAGAAGCATTAACACATGTACACATCAATATACGCATCAAGAACTCATCTCATCCTCATTAAGAAAATCATCATCAACGTCAAGTTATCATGTTTTCCACTATTTGGACAACCATCTTCCCGAAATTAAAACTGTAAAAATCGTCATCATATTTTAAGATATCAGGGCAGGAAATTTGTCCGATAACTCTCCAAGTTATTCAAGTGTCCCGTAAACAGTATTGTTTCGGAAGTAAAGTCAAAGTATACTTAAGATTTACGGAAGTTGATACATATTGTTGTCTGTATATATTAAATAAAAACAAGGAAAGTGTAGCAAGTTCATGAAGTAAAAGGAAATATCTGATCTTATTTACGTACATAGAAAGCATTGTATTAAAAGGTCATAGAACTTACGACCTTTGATGTGAATTATTGTTTTATTAGTTTCCCGTGATTACAATTCTCGCCACATGACCAACGTTTCTCGCATTTTTAACTTTTTTGAAAACCATGTGTTATCTTAGCGTTAGAGCATTTCTGTTAAATTGACTTGTTTAAGAAGCTTATTTAACAGTTCCTTTCCTAATAATCTATCAATATGTATCTTGAGCATAGGTATTTGACATGTAGCCTTACCTTGTATTAAATATATAAATCATGTCCCTAGTGTAAATAAGTGGTTTGCCCTTTTGGTCAGTTAATAGGACAACGCATTTAAATAGTTGCCTTTGAGTAGTGTCCTTGTACCTAGGATCAATTGGCTACGTTCTTGGGTCACCTTTGTTCAATGGACTCTTCTCGACAACAATAATTTCCTAAGGTGATATTGTTGGCATGCATCATAATCATATGCTCCTCTACAGCTCTTTTTGCACTTCAATTCAAAGCTTACAGAACTGTGTTATAATGGCACAAGGGACAAGCATTTGACAAATAAAATCTCTTGATGCATTATAGACGTATTGGTCGGACAAAGTTTTCGAGCACACACTCGCATCTCTACAGCCACTTTGCCATTTTCAAGGCGGGAATAATTTAATAATACATATTGCAGCAGTTTGTATTCCGGTTGGAGGATAAAATGCTAATAATATGGGTGTTTCAAACAATGAAAACATAGTTATTTTTTTACCTTGTATCAGTAATAGGTTGAATGACGTGTTTTCTGCCTACCAAAAATTAAAACAGAGTTCCAGACCCAGATTGTGTTATACGGGCTTAAACCTTAACTAAGGTTAAACTCAAATTACTTTTAAAATGTTTCCTTTCTTATTTCGTATACGGGAAATATCTGGTACACTATGAAATAAAAGAAATATTCTCTCGAAAAATGCATTTGACTCACACTTAGAGAATCTTTCTTCGATACTTGCTTTACTTGATATTTCTTCCTTTTTTATTCTTGTTTTTGTTCCGTTTCTTGGAAAAGAGAAACGATTGTTTATTTAAAAAGTTCTTCATTTGTCGAGAAATAAAATAGGTGTCTCATATTTATAAAACATCAAACATCAGATAGAGCCCTACTCGACTCAATTCTCCATTTACAGCTATTTTTGCACATATTCATAAAGCAGATTGAAACTATAGAATTGATCTAAACTTTGCATGACCTTAGAATATGATAACAAAACATTTGATAACAATTTGGTTTATCGAAGTAATTTTGAAGTCACGGATTAATGTTTATATCATCCGCTTGTCTGTACGCATATGATCTGATTTGAGAAATTAGATATATTTTGCACGAAGCACTGCCTAGATCATAGATAGAATATTCATTACTCATGTTTCTGAAATAAAGCAATAGATACCAAGTATGTAATTTTGGTAATTTTGGTCTTTTTGCATTTTTTTAAAAATTATGATATATACAATTAATGCTGTTAAATGTATTTATATAAGGGACGTTTGAGGAAGAAATCATTATTTTTTCCAGTAATGTTTCAAAATTATTTTGATTGTATCAATCATCAGGTTTCTCTTATATTCTAGTCATTTCTTTGCATAATACTATAATATTAGGTGATAATTCATTTTTGTGCGAAAAAAAAAATCATTTGGAAAACCTTTAATAGAACTTTAATTAAAAAGTAAACAAATGCAACCTTATCAATACCAATTGAATAAATCCCTTATTTTCTCAGTGTATACCGTATTAGATCGGAATAAAACCTGCTTTATATCAGATATATATCCTACATTTTCTCTAAGTTTATCTCACACTCTCTGAAAAATTAACCCGCACTAACTCGAAATGTAACCAACACTATATCAAAATGTATGATGTCCTTTTTGAAATAACTCCATCACAGACTCAGAATATATCCCGAACTTTTTCAACATATCACGTACTGTTCCGAAATGTAAATCGCACAATCAATCCCGCTCGTTACCTAGAAAAGCTACCGCAATGTTTAAAATGTTTTCATCACATTTGCAGAATATATCCCGCACTTTTTAAAATGTCTCCATCACATTTGCAGAATATATCCCGTGCTATCTCGGCATCAATCTAGCAATATCTTGAAATGGTGTAAGTTTATGTTAAATCAACAACTGTAATTACCCATTTCATAAGATATATCATATAATGTAACACAACGTAATCCAATGTTATGTTAAATAAACGTTTTATTTAGATACGATCGGATTATGAAACAAAAAAATTACTACACCATATTACACCACACCTAATGAAAGTCAACACAACGCAACAGAACACAAAAAACACCCTATCAAACACAAAACAACATATAACATAATACAATACACAACATAACACAATGCATTGCAACACAAAACACAACACAGCACATTAGAACAGACAGCAACAATACAACACAAAAACAATACAAATCAACAGACACAACATAAAAAATTGCACAACATAACACACCATACTATACAATACAATACAACTTAATTAAACACACAACATAACATACAATACAAAACACAACCCAGTATACAATACAGAAACAAAAACACACATAACATAATATAAAACACAATACAGTAACAACATGACACAAAATACAAAATGTACAAAACACACATGATAACATAAATATAACACACAACACAATTAAAACAGCACAACCGACAACAACACAACACAGTACATAGTATAACAAAAAACACAGCACAATGCAAAGCACAATGGAACACAATACATAACATAACAAATAACATAATAGTTTACGCAACATAACAAAACATTCTGATAATAATGTTTGTATTTAGTAACGGTTAACTTTATGAAATATATGCGATTTTTTACATTTGTCCTTGATTCTCGCAAAAATTGTTCATTCATTTCCTAAACTGAATACTCTTGCTGATTCTTCATTTTTTTCCGACATTTGATAGTCTCACTTATTCTTGATTCACTTCCTTAACTTAATACTTTCACTAATTTTCTATTTATTTCTGACATTTGGTACTCTTATTAATTCATATTTCATTCCCTACATTTAACACTCTCACTGATTGTTTCATTTTTTCCCTCAATTTGATTCTCTCACTATTTTTTCATTTATTTTCTAAAATGAATATTCTCATTGATGCTTTCTTCCTAAATTTGATGGTCTCACTAATTTTAGATTAATTTCCTTAACATAATTATGTCACTTACACTTCATATATTTCTTAAATTTGATACTCTCTACTATTCTTCATTTATTTTTTAAACTTAATAGTCCAAATTGATTCTTCATTTCTTTCCAAAATTTGACTCCCTCACTTATATGCATTTATCTCCTTAGCTAAATACTCTCGCTGATTCTTCATTTATTTCCTAAATTTGATATTCTAAATTATTCTCCAATTATTCCTTAAACTTAATACTCTTACTGATTCTTCATAAATTTTATTTTCTCAATTTGATGCTTTTATTAATAATCAATTTCATAAACTTACTTACCTAAATGATTCTTCCTCATATTCTTCCTCTTACTTTTTCTCAAAAGTTTTAATAATTGAAAAGCATTATTAGTTTATTGTATAAAGAGTGCCGTCATTATAAGTGTCATTCTAAAATTTATTGTTCATTATATGATCAGTATTTTTATGTTGTTACAGATACTAGTGATGATCTGATAACAGATAAAAATGGCGACCGCCAGTCCAGGTCAAGCTTCATCGACAAAGGCGCAGCAGAATCGCTGCCGTCTGTTTCGTCTTCAAATGCTGATTATAGACGGTGGACTACAAATACTAAGAAATATTATAGATAAGAAACTTCAAAATGTCTCTCTTAGCGCATTTTTGCAACAGGAAAGGTCAACAATAACCAAACTAAGATCACGCGGAATAATTACGCAGGTACAATATGATCTGCTGTTTCCATCAGGTGGCAGCGGGCCAGCTACAACAGATCTAGACATCACGTTGATCATATGCCTCCTTAGGAACATCAAGTCATTCGGACTGAACAAGAACTTTCAATGGAACTCAATTCCTCCACAAGGTGATACTTCAGTTGAGGCTGATATTTCTCGTCTGAAAGAATACAGGAACGAGGTAAAGAGTTTTTATTTTTGCCTACTATAGAATGATACACAATAGAGAGAAATAACATCAAAACATTCGACAATCTGCTTAATACTTTAGAACTACGACCCATCGTACAAATCAGTTGACCTCGTTTTTCGATGCTCTTTATATTAATTTAACGTGCTTATGGTACACAAATATTAGGTAATTGAAAGGTTTTGTTGAGCTAGCGTTTGAATTATTTAAGTTTAATTATCTATTTTGCAAAATTTATATTCATACATACATGTAACTCTTATATTGTTTTTTAATTTAAGGAAACATTCTAATGAGTTCTTTTATATTTTATTTTGCAACGAATGGGTTTCAACATTTATATAAATTGTATAAACCTATGATGCAGTAGCCTTACATATTAATTTGTTAATTAATTAGTATTTGTTACTATTGTACATGTATATATTCACTCGTTCTTTAGCTCAGTCATATATCTTCAACAAGTGGAATAACGCTGAATGTTTTCACAACAAAGTGGACGGAGATCGAACAGGTTAGACTGACTTTTTATATCACAAATAACTTACTGTAAACCATGTTTACTAGTATAGCACTCCACGCATATATTTTTTTTTAAATTTTATAATATCATATTAAACTTTTATTGTGAAACTAAGATAAATTAGTTTTACATTTTTACAACGATTGCATTTAACGATAGTGTTCCCACTAAAAATTCATTAAGGGATAGTATAAACATGGGCGACCCAACATTGTTTTGCTCATCGGTTGGAAATAGCAACCGAACGACGTGTTTGTGTTTATGTGTCTGTGGGGTGAGCTGACTAGCGGTCACATCAAAGCGTATGATCTACACATTAATTTCATTTCCGAAATTAAATCCTAATACATCGAAAAACCCTTCAGCACCCCGCCACCGGCGTGTCGGAGCATAATATGTGATATAAGCTTTAGCATTCACCTGGAACCCTTAGATAACGTTTTCTTGTATTCTTCCTGATAAGGAAGACCTGTGTTCTTTCAGGTTACGTCATTCTCTGCTATAACATAATTAGCAGAAACTTACTTTAGGTTCAGTGTCAATAGTCAATGCTCTTGTCGTTTTCATTTCTTAATCTTATTGCACTCACAAAAGTATGTTACAGTAACTGTATCGTTTATAAGGACAGGCTGTCCAGTTGTTTCTAAGTATCAACATAATTCTCATATTGAACTTCTCTTAATATGTATCTGGAAGTATTAAAAAGATGTGAATGTAATACTAACAACAGATGTTTAAGAAAATACGTTTACTTTTTATTTTTCAATATATATGTTTATGTTAATGTTTTGGTATATGATATTGCATGAAATCTTGACAAAATTGATGGTGTTAAGCGTGTCTATTTCCAGGTTCTTTTGAGGCTGAATACGACGGTGTCTCCCATACAAGACCTTCAAACAATGATTGATGACTTTAAAGTCAATCCACTCGATCCACAGGCGGAGAGAAGGGTCCAGAAAGCCATAGACAGTTGGCGTAAGTTAGAAACGTGTGTAGAAGCTGAATTAAAACTGTTGAAAAAGGAGGACGAGAAGATAAAATGTACTCTGAAATCGCAAGATCAAATCACGAGAAAGCATACACAGAGTATTGGTGAATTAAAAAAGAAAACGCGTGAACATGATAAACAAATGCATGATCATGATAAACAAATACATGATCATGATAAACAAATACATGACCATGCTAAACAAATACAAGAATTAAAGGTAAAGGAAGAAACTAAAAAAGGTAAATCTCAATTTTGACAATATTTCAAGATGTTGGATATTTTGTATGTGCAATTTAAAACAAAACTGAAAATAATCTTACCATGAAAAGCTTAAAATACAGTGATGAATAATCGAAATTTCTTTTCAAATTATTATGAAACATATGATTGTATTATCTCAATCATTTCGAAAAGTTATGTAGCTTTCTTCCAAATACTTCAAATGTTTGTTGCATCCATGATATTTATCATCAATTTAATAGAACAATCTTTACTTCTTTTTATGATTATAATTTAGTGCTCATTAAATCTATAACCTTATTTATCATTTATTTAATTCAATCTGATAAAATCGAATTCAATTAAATTCAGACAACAGTCCTTACATTTATTTGTGATACATGTTTGTAAAAGATTAAAACAATATATTTGAATGTTTTAATGTAGATGACAAAGCAGAGACAGAATCAAACTATGAAGAAAGTAAACAAAGTAAGTTTTTTTGTCACTTTACTTTTAATCCCTTTTCGCAATTAGTATAAATTTGTAAGAATCAAACATACCAAAGGATAACGTATACATCTAACGGCGTATATAGCTTACTGTGTGTTGTACGTACTCATAAGTTGACAACGTACACAGCTAATGTTTTTAGGTCAGTAGGTCAAAGGTAAAGTTCACTTAGGCCATAACGACGTCGTTATGCGGGAGTTCTTGTTAAAGTCGTAGTTATTTTAGTCATCGTCAGTCAAAGTCGTCATCGGTGTCATTTTTGCCGTAGAAGTTGAAGTGTTATTCGTAGTTACCACAGTCGTAGCCGACGTCGTAGTAGGTGTCGCCTTTAAAGTTTTTAGTTATCTCTTAAAATGCCAAAAGATCATAAAACGATTCATGTGCTCTTGTCTGATAGAATAAATATGTAAATATTTTAAAAAGATCAAGTAAACTGACATTCGGATCATCTACATTATATTAATGTACATGCGCTGTAGTTCTGATACAAAACATGTATGAGATCCTAATTATGACCAAGGTAATATTTATGGAATATACATGAGGGTATCACATTTATGTACATATACTCTATTCATTATGAACCAGGTATGAGGGTATCATCTAGAGTATAAAGGGAGATAATTAAATTCAATACAGTTATACTTTCCCCTGCGTGGGATCACTTAAGATACAAGTGTGCAGATAAATTGATAGAAATGAGAGAATATATACACACATACCACCACATCGATATGCCAGTCCAATTACGGCACAGCGCCTAGCAGAACAGTCTCTTTATCTCCCTTTATATATACTTTATCTGTCTAAATTCATTGTATCCTACGGATCTACTTGATCTTACGTGATCCAGTAGACTTTCGGAAATAGATATATAGTTCTCTGGTCCTAATCAGTGAAGAAGACAATAAAAATGTCATCGTTGATTTGTGAGATATGATAACAGAGAACAAACTCTATATATGTGAATGTTGAGCTTGTTTCAATGTGTAGTGCAGTTTGTGACTGTATATAAAGCTGTTCTGAAACCATCATTTTTGTGATGGTGGATGAGCAGTGGCTATGCTTTCATGACTGTTCTGCTAGGCGCTGTGCCGTAATTGGACTGGCATATCGATGTGGTGGTATGTGTGTATATATTCTCTCATTTCTATCAATTTATCTGCACACTTGTATCTTAAGTGATCCCACGCAGGGGAAAGTATATATATATATATATTATATATATATATATATATATATATATAATATATATATATATATAGGTTTGTGAAAATATTTGCATCTACAAAATACCTTTCAAAAACACTGGATCCCAAGAAGGATACAAGAACGTGGAAAAAATAACAATAAATTTGGAGAAAATAAACGTTCATACAGTGCTAAAGTATAAATACCCAAGTACTTTCGGCGTATTATGCCTTCATCAGGGGTGTATTACATGTATAATGCGCACACAATCGAGCACAAAATCTCAATACGTGTGTACTGTATAGTATCAAAAATTGACTGAAACACAGTCGCTAGAAAGGTGATAAAATTACATCGATTATGAATAGACCGTTATTGAATGGTCATTGTGTAGTACTAAACAAAAGAAATTAAAGCCTGCGGTCAATATGGCATAAAATCGGTTAAATATATCTATAAAAGTATGTTTAAAAAAAGGAAAAGAAAAAAATATATATTAAATAAATAAAACTTCACATATCAGGGCGTTTGTGTTTTTATTACTAAAAATATGATGTTAGAAAATGCAAGTTACAAACAGTGTGATGTTATATGAAGTGGAAATTTACGATAAGGTGAAAGTAATAAAGATGCTCTCAGGCAAGGGAGAAATAGCCCTCCCCGACACCGCCTGATAACTAAAGTAAGGTTTAATTTCTTTTGTTAAGTAATTAGTGGTAATGACGAAAGTGCGTCGCCACTTATTTACTTGGTAGACATGTGGGCAAAGAAGTTTTAGCGATATATTAAAAGATTATGAATAGAAAAAAATAACATATAAGAAATGTTCCAATTTTTTTTCCTGAATATTTGTTTAGATGATGAATAGAAAAAAACCCATAAAAAGCATCTAAGAAATGTTCCTTTTTTTAATCCTAAATACTTGCTTACTCATATGTTAGCCGTGTGTGGAGTAAAAAGCTTAAAAAATCTCATAGTTTAAAGAAACGTTTGCATTTGTTTTAATAAGGCACATTAGATAAAGTTTGTTTGTATAACATTGTGCTTGTTGTTTGTATTAAGTTGTCTTAAACATGTTTTATTTTAATACAAATTGCGGCTATTTTAAATACATGGAAACTGCCATTTTACAAAAATTCCAAAAAGTCAACATATGGTTTTATTTTTGAATTCGCTATTAAATTTTACTTATCAAACAAGAAATTTAGAAAATTCAATGAAAGGATTATTTTTCCATAAAACTGTAGTAAATGTTTTTAATAAGCATTATTGTGTTTTAACGTCACAAAAGATTTGAAAAAATTGCAATACACATTTTCTACGTCAATTTAATTGTAATTTGTTTTGTAAAGGTGCCGAAATCGACTAAACCAGTCATTTAAATTTTGATATTTGTATCTACATTACTCTGTTTACCTTCAGTTTTATGAAACATGCACAGTAATCGGATACAAGAATATTGTTTATTTGGAGATCGTTCAGCTTGACATTATCATTGTGTTTGTGGTATTTCATTATCTCTCAATTTGACCTTTTTAATTTCGGGTTCGAGTATTCCTAGTTAAACACTGTATAATAACTATTTGAATATGTTGCCTTCTCTTGAAATTTGTCTTTTGACCTTTAATCCAGTTCATTTATACAGCGCATTGTTTTCTCGTTTAAAGCTGTCTATCACTTGGGGAGAATATGCCGTATTTCATGGAATAGCACGAACATTTTACATTGAAATTACCATGATCACAATCGTATGTGTTTCTTTACTTCCTTTAAAGCAGCCCGCCTCCAGATTCATGTGAATTTTCATGAACATTTTGTAAATGTATTTGAATGTGTAATATTGTCAAGTAACCAGAAGAAAGCAAGTTACACATTATCAATGGCACTTAGAAACCACGTGAATTACCAAAAAATGGTCTTTATTATTCTGTTGTTAAAGCAGCACGTCTCCACAGATTCATGCTTATTTTAATGAAAATTTTGAAAATGTACGAGTCAAACACAGAACTTAATTACAATAATACACAAAAGAAAATAATGTGTAAAGTGCAAAAGGCGAAGAGTGGATCAGCATGTGGAATCGACGAGATCCCTTATGACGTACTGAAAAATCCTGCTGTTATAGAGACAGTTCACCATCTATTTCAACTTATTTTTGACTGCAGTATAATACCCTCTGTGTGACGAAAGGCAGTTTTTTGCCTAATACTGAAAGACCCAAATTCTGATAAGCGTGTTCCAATGCACTACCGCGGGATCAGTCTGTTGTGTTGTATAAGCAAACTGTACACATCTTTCTTGAACAAACGTCTTACAGGTTATTATCGCAGACGAACAAAACGGATTCAGGAAGCAACGGTCATGTGAAGACCGAGTGTTTACGCTAAACAGTGTTATTCGGAACAATAAATCAGTATTCACAGCCTATATTGATCTTAAAAAACGTTTTGATTACATAGATAGAGGCATGCTACTATACAAACTGTTGATAAATAATATAGACGGCAAACTGTATAACTCGATTAAGAATATCTACACAAGCTCAGTGTCGTGCATACGTATATATAACAAGCTGACAGACTGGTTCAGCTGTTTGTCAGGCGTAAAACAAGGCTGTAATTTGTCCCCGACATTGTTCTCCGTATTTCTTGCACGTGAAATCAACGAACTTGACTTTGGTTTAACGGTTGGTGACATTAAACTATCCTTGTTAATGTACGCAGACGATGTTGTCTTAATATGAGAGATTTACAACCACGTCACTGATAACTGCTGTGTGGACTACGGATACACACAATCTTAGAAGGTCGTACATTCGCATGTAAACAATGTTAGCAGTTTCTGTAAAGTTAACGGAAAATGATGTTCCTGGGGCAAAGTTTTAAAGATCAGAATTATCTGAGCATAATTTTTATATTTTTTTTGTAATATTCAAATTGAAAGAAAAAAAAGTACAAAACTATTTTCTAAATTGTAACGTTATTGACATATAAATAAGTTAAGTGTGATGTTATAAAGGGCTGATTTGCTAAACATCTACATGTACTTTTTTTTGTTTTTATCAATCTTGTAACAACTAGCTATATGTATTCTATGAATTATCATTTTAATGTAAATATGCCTGCTAATTGCTCAATTTTGTTTCATTTTCATTTTCCCTTTTTATGCCACCGCAGCATCTGCGATGCGGTGGTATATAGCGATTCACCTGTGTGTGTGTATGTGTGTGTGTGTGTGTGTGTGTGTGTGTGCGTGTTTGTGTGTGTGTTATATAGATTATATAGTGAAATTAAAAAATCTTCTTGTGAAAAACCACTAGTCCAATTTCAACCAAATTTGGCAGGATTGTTCCTTGGGTGAAGGGCTTCCAAAGTTGTTCAAAGAATTTTATTCCATGCAGAAATCTGGTTGCCATGGACAACGCAAAAGGAATAATAAGAATAAATTAAACAAATCTTCTTGTAAAGACCCAAAAAGCCTAGAGCTTTTAGAATATTTTGCATAAGCATTGTCTGGTAGACCTCTAACAAGATTGTTCAAATCATAGCCTGGGGTCAAAATTGATCCGCCCGGGTCATTGATTTTCACACTATGTACATATAGTATAAAAACTTAAAATACCTTCTTGTAAAAAACCCAAAAGGCCTAGAGCTTAGATATTTTGCATAAGGCATCATCTGGTAGACCCTTACCAAAATTGTTTCAAATTATAGCCCTTGGGTCAAAATCGGCCCGCACCGGGGTCATTGATTTTCGCTATTAAAACATATAGTAAAAACTTAAAAACACCTTTTTGTAAAGACCCAAAAGGCTAAAGAGCTTAGATATTTTTGCATAAGCATTGTCTTGTAGACTCTACCAGATTGTTCAAATTATAGCCCTGGGGTCAAAATCGGCCCGCTCCAGGGTCATTGGTTTTCCTTATATGTATTATAGTAAATTTTTTCTAGCAATTGACAAATGCTAAAGGTTAGATATTTGCCATGA